GTTCAATGATGTTTTTCTTAAATTCAATCTTATTTCTCACCTTCTTTACCAAAGGCTTGGCACTAGGAGCTTTCTTTGGAGCCATGGTAGCTTATTTAGTAGTTGCAAGCCCTAAAATGAATGGAATATTATGAAATATTTCGTATGAGAAAGTGAGGGGACTGTCGTTCACTGATAAACAATGGCACACTGGCTGGGAAGGGAGGCTGGGGCGGCTCAGAGCGTGAGTACGTGTCCCAGACGAATGACTATTCACGAGTCAAACTACGATTAGCGAGCCAATGTTTTGACGAAAATATCGTTACGATTTTCGAAAATTACGACTATTGAGCCTTACGATTATCGAGGGACCACTGTATATAATGTATGCCCCTTACCAAGATAAGGTGCATTCATGCTTCTCACTACGTCACCTGAGATACCCAATAACATCCTGGTATCTTTCAGTGTTTTACTTCCTGTGTATACAATAATATCCAATACCAGGCCACTGTCAGTCACAAACAGTTTTATACCAAAGTGTTTCCTCTTGCTCGGTATATACTGCTTGAACGACAGTCTACCTTTGAACAAAATCAAAGACTCGTCAATTACAAGATTCTTGAATGGATAAAAATACATGTTGAACTTTTGTTTCAGATACATAAAAACATTTCTAATCTCGTATAACCTGTCACTTCTGTCAGGCCTGGTTTTGTCAGAGAAGTGCAACATATGTAACAGTAAGATAAACCTGTTCATTGGGATGATTTCACTGAAGACTGGGGTACAAATTAGCCAATCTGTGGACCAGTATGATTTTATATTATGCTTATAAACATGAGGCATAAGAATTATTGTTGCAATAAGCAAATACATTTCAGCCACAGTTGTCTCTTTCCACCGGTGTAGTCTTGACTGTGGTGATATGATCGCATTTGCCATGGTGTACTCAAAATACTTGTTACTTTCCCTGACAATAGTTTCCATCAAGGGCTAGTCAAAGAATAGTTCAAAGAATTCCAGTTCATTTGAAGTGTTTCCAAGGGAACAAGCTGGTAGGATTCCACTTTCAGAGTCATCATACTGGTGGGGATTGGGAACAAAATTGGGATTTTGCTGCCAATCCCAGATGTGGTTTGCTGGTGGATACTGGACATCATAAGCTGGTTGTGGATATAGTTGTGGTGGGTGATGCTCCGCTTTGTCCTTGAGCTGAGGAGTCAGCGGCATGGGTCCTTGCCTGGGCTGGTGAGTCATACATGGCCGTGGCACTACCACCACCTACTGATGCCTGTGGTCTATCCATGCCAAGTGTAGCCACATCATCCTCACTTTCACTGTCTTTTCCTGGTGTAGGGCCATGGGATGTACTCTGGGATGTACTCCATCCCCTGGGCACTGCATAGGGAACACTACCTGAGCGCATGCAGCGGCATATATACCGACACTTCACTGGTGAATATGATTCATCACTATCACTACTCGAATGATCATCAAGAGCAATAAAATCACAGTCCACATCACTAACCTCATCATTACTGAAGCCTGGCCACGCGAACATGTTAGTTTTCTCTTGCAACGAGGTACAACTGAACATGACTGAGGTAGAAGGTTGAGTATCGTCAGGATTTTCTGCACTATTTTTGATATCCTGGTTATTGCTTTAGGTCACTAATCGATCAAAGCCATAAAATTCTTCATTTCCACTTCCATCAGTCAGAACTGAGTTACAAAGAGGAGAGTCCCAATTTGCCTCGGAGTGAGAGCTGCCTTGCGGCGAGGCATGGTGAACAAAGGTTACTGAGGCGGCGTTCCCACAATGCCATGCGGGCGCCTAGAATTTTTGTTTATGGCGCACACACACCACGCAGACCCGTTCTCTCAGATGTAGGCCTACCAGCCTTCTTGCGCTAAATTTGACGCAGCTAGAATTTTGGTGTAGATCTACGGTTTGGACCCTCAACATATAGCCGTAGATCTATGGCACGGACCCTGGAAGGGTTAACAAAAAACATTTTTTATACATTAAATATAGATTTACATACAGAAAAGAATGAGAAATCAAGCAATATAAAACAATAATATAATAACATGATGCTTACCTTTATTGAAGACTCTTGTTGGTGTATGGTAGACAGGGAGGAGGGGAGAGGGAAAAGTCACTAGTGTTTGGAAGGGGAATCCCCTTCCATGAAGACTTTAGGTAACAAGTCCTTATCTGGGGTTACTTCCCTTCTTTGTTTTTTAATTGCACTAATACCAGCTTGAGAGTCACTGGACCCCTGTCACACAAAAAAAAAAAAACTGTCCAGAGAGCTCTGTTTCTGACATCTACCTAAAATTTGCCTAAAATGGGATATGGCATTGTCATTGTACATGTTGGCAACATGGCTTGCAACAGCTATGTTAGGGTGATATTTCTCCACAAAACTTTGCAACTCGCTCCACTTTGCACACATGTCCCTAATCACTGAAGAAGGCACATTCTCCCCTCTCTTTCTTCTTCCTCCTCTGAAGCATTTTCCAGAGCTGTGCTCTGTTGCTGTTGCAGATGAATCTCTTGCAGGTCTTCAGTGGTTAGCTCTTCACTGTGGTCCTCCACCAACTCTTCCACATCGTGGCCGCTCATACAGTACAATCCACAACAGGTGTAGAGTCAACCAGGTCAGCCCCAAGCCCTTCAAAATCCTTCCATTGGACACATTTTGGCGACAATTTTCTCCAAGCAGAGTTCATCATCCTGGAAGTCACTCCCTGCCAAGCCTTATCTATAGGGCTTATGCAATTGAGGGTAGTGAAGTAATCTTTGCAGAACTCTCTTAGTCAGTTGAGTGTCTGAGGTCACATCAAAGCACCTTTGAAACATTGCTTTGGAGTAGAGTTTTTTGAAGTTTGAAATGATCTGCTGGTCCATGGGCTGGATGAGAGGAGTGGTATTAGGGGGCAAGAACTTCACTGTGATGAAACAAAACTCCTCCAACAATTGATCATCCAAGTCTGGAGGATGAGCAGGAGCATAGTCCATTATCAAGAGGCACTTGAGTGACAATTTCTTTTCCAGGAGGTATTTTTTCACACTGGGGTCAAGCAGTTCATTGAACCAATCAAGGAAAATTTCCCTTGTTACCCATGCCTTACTGTTAGCCTTCCATGGGATTTTCAGAGTGACACACCAGTAAAGGCTTCACTTTGAAATCCCCACTAGTATTACCACAGAGCAAGAGAGTTAGCCTGTCTTTCATAGGCTTGTGTCCTGGCAGTCCCTTTTCCTCCTGCATGATGTAGGTCCTCTTTGACATTTTCTTCCAAAAGAGGCCTGTTTCATCATAATTGAACACTTGTTGGGGGACGAATCCTTCAGCCTCTATGTACTCCTTGAATTAATGCACAGATTTTTCAGCCCCATGTTTATCTGAGCTTGCTCCAAAACCATGCCTTACAACACTGTATGCCACTGCGCTTCTTGAATTTTTCAAACCAGTCTTTGCTGGCCTTAAATTCACTAACATCAGCACTCGTTCAAGGCATTTTCTTTACGAGATCAGCGTGTAGCTGCCTTGCCTTTTCGCAAATTATTGACTGCACAACACTATCTCCCACTAATCGTTTCACGTTGATCCACGTCAACAACAATTTCTCGACATCTTCGAGTGTTTGTGATCTCTGTTTTCTTATCACTTTTAACCCTTTCACAACATCAGTTTCCTTGATTTTGTTTTTCTTCGCTACGATTTAATTGATGGTTGATGCAGGCTTGCCGTATATCCTTGCGATGTCGATCACATTTAAGCCACGTTCATATTTTTCGATGATTTCTTTCTTGAATTCTATCGTGTTTCTCACCTTCTTTACCAAAGGACTGGGACTAGCAGCTTTGTTTGGGCCCATGGTGGCTTATTTAGCAGTCATGTAGAATAAACAAGTGCAAGAAACAATAAATTATTACAAAACAATTCATATCAGCTAGCAGAGTAATGTTCACTCAACCATAAACAAAGCGACACTGCCTCAGAATGCGTGTGGGAGGTTGTGTGAGTAGAACACTTAGACCTGTACCGTACCACCGACGAGAATGGAGGAGAGCAATGACAACTAAGCCGCCAATATTTTTACCGTACCACCGACGGGAAAGGAGAAAGGCAACGAAAACTGAGCCAGTATTTTTACAGAAAAAAATCGGCCATAACTGAAATGAGCAAAAACAGAGCCCAATGAAAAGGGAGGGTCCACTGCACATATAAATACAATAAAGCACATAAATTACTGGGAACGGTTGAAGTCCCTCAACTTGTATTCGTTGGAAAGCAGGCAAGGAAAGATAAATGATAATATACACTTGGAAAATCTTAAGAGGGACTAGTCCCGTATCTGCACACAGAAATCACTCCTCATGAAAGCAAAAGACTCGGCAGGCAGTGCAACATATCTCCAGTGAAAAGCAGGGGTCACCCTGAGTATGTAGAGACAACACAATGAGGGTCAGGGCCTAAGACTGTTCAACTGCCTCCCAGCATACATAAGGGGGGTTACCAATAGACCTTTGGCTGTTTTCAAGAGGAAGCAGGATAGGCACCTAAAGTCAGTTCCCAACCAGCCGGGCTGTCATTCATACGTCAGTTTGCATGCAGCCAGCAGTAACAGCTTGGTTGATCAGGCCCTGATCCACCACAAGGTCTGCTCATGGACCGGGCCACGTGGGCATTGATCCCTGGAATATCCTCCAGGTATCACTAATACTCTCTGGTTCCTTATTATTATGCCACTCCTCTCTCTCTCTCTCTAACTCATTATTTAAATATCCCCATCATTCACAAGGTGCATATACAATCACAACAGCCACCATCATCCTGTCTAACTTGAATTTCACAGATAGGCTCCTCAAGCCATGCCATAAGAAATCAGTCATTGCACCTTATCACTTACATTTTGTGTTAGTTGATAATTATCAATTGCAGTGTACTTGCCTCATCTCTGAGTTACATATTTTGCATGCATATTAAAGATCAGCTTATTTTCAGAGATGTTACTGGTATGGCCTGGGAGGATGTAGTACTCACTTGTTCATTAGTACACCTAGTAACTGTGTTGATTAAAAGACATGCAGTATACCTTGAGCCATCTCACTGGGACTGTGCTTTATGCTTGCTTTCTTCATGGATACAGAGCCTTGAAGAATCTAGAAAGGTAAGTGTACAGGTCCGCCATCACAAATCCGGCAATCAGTTATTCGGTTCCTTCAGTTATTCGGCACTTATTTTGGCTAGCATAATTTCAAATTTCCAGGGTTGCCACACCAACCTGCTGGTACTGTTTGGTGGCGCTACTTGCTGCATAAGTCATTCCAATTTCTTTTTCTCCATTTATTGTTTTAACCTGCTTACTTTTAGCCCTAGCCATGGTTCCAATGAATAAAAGAAATGCTTCTCTTTATGTAAAGCACCTACACAGTACATTATCCATTAAAGATAAGGTGGCTTTGAAGCCACTGTCGGTTGTCATGAACTCAGTCTCATGAAGCAGGAGAATATGCTTTATTATTATGCTAATATCAACACTACAGTTTATTTGCCTATCACAATTGATCTAATATGACATAAGAAACAATATAAATAACATAAAACATATTAATACTCCAGAATGAATAATATTTGGCATAATACTGAGCAGTTCGACAGAGGTATGAAGAGGATATGGTATACAAATACCATTCTCCTATCCCTGTCTTGGGGCCTTATATTAGAGAAAACGGAGTATAGCACAGGGCTAACTGTGATATACACTCGTACTGCACCATAACCCTGAAACAAAAAAGTTATTTTCTCTCTATAGATTATCACACATAGCAGCATGTGTAGAGAACCTAGGATAACCCAAAAAAAGTCAACGTGGCTTATTTTTAGTACCTGGCTTGGGTTAGCCATATATGATTTTTGGTAAATATTCAATTCCCAGCCAGGGTAGAAACATTACGCGTGTTTCTTTACACCTGTTGTCTATGTTTACCCATCAGTAAATGGGTACCTGGGTGTTAGCCGACTAGTGTGGGTGTTATCCTGGGACACTGACCTAATTTTCTTGAAATACTCTGCATAACAAGCGGCTTTCTATATAGTAGTACGTCACTGTTGTCAGCTAGGCCTGTATACCTTGTACATGTACATGTAGTAAATAAAGATATTATTATTATTATTATTATTATTATTATTATTATTATTATTATTATATTATTATTATTTTCTCAGTTGTTTGTTGGGTTATCTTATTCAAACTTGGGCAATGTATGATGGAAAGATGCTTCTTCACGTACACCAAAAATGAAAGAAATCAGATAATAGATAGCGGAGTTCACTTCTCAGCCATTAGCGGCCGCTTAGCGGTATATTTTTGTATGGTTGTTATGGTTATATTCTCATTTTTTTGGTCTCATTTGATAGAATGAAAGATATATTACAGAAATAGATATGATTTTGATTGCTTTCATGACGAAAAGTACCTTGAAATTGCGCTCACAGTAGCGAAAATATTCTATTCTTTAGCGAAGCTCAAGAGTAAACAAATGATGTCACCATCCAATACCTGTCCGCCTGCCAGTCTAAATTCCAATACGGAGTCAAGAATGGGTTGACATTATTTATACAATTATTACAATAATGCAGCAGTCTGCATAACAGTAAATCTTCTATTTTTTTGTGAATAAAAATTCCAAATGAAAAGCAAGAGTAATATAAGAGGGGCCTGTAGCCGTGACTAATGAACAGAGAAAATGTTATTTTAGTGCCAGGAATGTCTGCATTGTTTATTCTGGATCCTATTTTGAAATTGGCATCTGTTGAAATTTGTGTGAAATCGGCCAAATTGCCAATTTCTGACCACTTTATTGGGTAGTTGAAATAAGTGAATGGGCAGTTTCTTGTACTCAGTTGACAGACTAGAAGTAAATAAGTATTCAGGTATACACAAATACAGTTACATAGATTATCATACATAGCAGTGTATGTATAGAGAACCTAGGATAACCCAGAAAAGTCGGACAAAGTGACTTATTTCCAGTACCTAGCTTGGGCTTGCCATATATGATTTTTGGTAAATATTTGTTTTTTCTCGGTTGTTTGTTGGGCTATCTCATTGAAACTTGGGCAATGTATGATGGAAAGATGCTTCTTAACATACAACAAAAATAAAAAAGACGGGCGATAAATAAGGGAGTTAACTTCTCAGCCATTAGCCGCCTCTTTGCAGTATATTTTCGTATTGTTTTTATGGTTATATTCTCATTTTTTTGGACTCATTTGATAGAATGGAAGATATAATACAGAAATAGACATGATTTTGATTGCTTTCCTGATGAAAAGTACCTTGAAATTGAGCTCAAAGTAGCAGAAATGTTCGATTTTTGCCAATGTTCAATGAACTGTGTAAGTCAAGTTGGTTAATTTTATTGAGTGTATTCTAACCTAACCACTCTGTAATCTGGCAAACTCAGTAATCTGGCACACTACAGGTCCCAATGATGCCGGATTTGTGATGGAGGACCTTTATTAGATTTACTACAATTTTTGTAAAGAACATTTCTTTTGGTGCTGTTGTTTAAACATAAGTATGAGTAAATAATTCTTAAATATTGAATACATCTTGCTTTCAGATTTTTTGTCAATCTACCTAAACTAAAAATAAATAAAGTTTGCAGTTTTTATCACAACAGTTTGAGTTAATATGTTATTTAACGGAAATCATGCAGGGTGGTACTACCATCCTGTTATGAGCATGGAACGGAAGCCTGCTGAATGTTTTGCCCTTTAGCAAGATTTATATTTTTTTTTTCTGTCTCATGAATTTGTAAGATGGTTAGGTTAGTCTTAGTCTTGTACTTGCAGATAAAGATTGTTTATTTCAGCATGATACAGTGGACCCTCGCATAACGATCACCTCCCAATGCGACCAATTATGTAAGTGTATTTATGTAAGTGCGTTTGTACGTGTATGTTTGGGGGTCTGAAATGGACTAATCTACTTCACAATATTCCTTATGGGAACAAATTCGGTCAGTACTGGCACCTGAACATACTTCTGGAATGAAAAAATACCGTTAACCGGGGGTCCACTGTACTATGTTTGTACAGAGGTAAAAGACATTTAAGTGTGCATGCAGAAAGCCCCGTAATATGCAAAGCATTTTGGGCAAACTTAAGACTATCTTATGATTAATAATTCAGTGACTAAGTGTGGTAATTTCATGCACTGGTCACGGAGGTATACCATCTTTTAGGAGTGAAGAAGAGCAGGATGTGAGTGTGGGGGAGGTGTGTGAGGCATTACGTAGAATGAAAGGGGGTAAAGCAGCTGGAACTGACAGGATCATGACAGAAATGTTAAAAGCAGGGGGTGGATATAGTGTTGGAGTGGTTGGTATTTTTGTTTAATAAATGTATGAAAGAGGGGAAGGTACCTAGGGAGTGGCAGAGAGCATGTATAATTCCTTTATATAAAGGAAAGGGGAACAAAAGAGATAGTAAAAATTGTAGAGTAATAAGTTTACTATGTATACCAGGAAAAGTGTATGGTAGGGTAACTACTGAACGAATTAGAGGCAAGACAGAATGAAGGATTGTGGATGAGCAAGGAGGTTTCAGAGTGGGTAGGGGATGTGTAGATCAAGTGTTTACATTGAAGCATATATGTGAATGGTATTTAGATAAAGGTAGGGAAGTTTTCATTGCATTTATGGATTTAGAAAAGGTATATGATAGTGGATAGGGGAGCAATGTGGCAGATGTTGCAAGTATATGGAATAGGCAGTAAGTTACTAAATGCTGTAAAGAGTTTTTCTGAGGATAGTGAGGTTCATGTTAGGGTGTGTAGAAGAGAGGGAGACTACTTCCCGGTAAAGGTGGATCTTAGACAGGGATGTGTAATGTCACCATGATTGTTTAATATATTTATAGATGGGGTTGTAAAAGAAGTAAATGCTAGGGTTTTTGGGGAGAGGGGGTTTGGGATTAAATTAGGGGGAATCAAATACAAAATGGAAATTGACACAGTTACTTTTTGCTGATGATACTGTGCTTATGGGAGATTCTAAAGAAAAGTTGTAAAGGTTAGTGGATGAGTTTGGGAGTGTGTGTAAAGGTAGAAAGTTGAAAGTGAATATAGAAAAGAGTAAGGTGATGAGGGTATCAAATGATTTAGATAAAGAAAAATTGGATATCAAATTGGAGAGGAGTAGTATGGAAGAAATGAATGTTTTCAGGTATTTGGGAGTTGATGTGTCAGCAGATGGATGTATGAAGGATGAGGTTAACCATAGAATTGATGAAGGAAAAAAGGTGAGTGGTGCATTGAGGTACATGAGGAGACAAAAAACATTATCTATGGAGGCAAAGAAGAGAACGTATGAAAATATAGTGGTGCCAACACTCTTATATGGGTGTGAAGCTTGGGTTGTAAATGCTGCAGCGAGGAGACGGTTGGAGGCGGTGGAGATGTCCTGTCTAAGGGCAATGTGTGGTGTAAATATTATGCAGAAAATTCGGAGTGGGGAAAAATTAGGAGAAGGTTGGAGTTTATAAAAGTATTGGTCAGAGGGCTGAAGAGGGGTTGAGGTGGTTTGGTCATTTAGAGAGAATGGATCAAAGTAGAATGACATGAAGAGCATATAAATCTGTAGGGGCAGACAGGCGGCGTAGGGGCGTCCTAAAAAAGGTTGGAGGGAGGGGGTAAGGGAGGTTTTGGGGGCAAGGGGCTTGGCTCCAGAAAGCTGGGAGTGTATTAGATAGAAGTGAAGGAGATAAAAGGGTATTTGGGACCTGCAAGTGTTGGAAGGAGCAGGGTAATATTTAGTGAAGGGATTAGGGAAAACCAGTTATTTTTTTTTACCCGGTTTGAGAAATGGAAGGGGGAAGTACATGCCTGAAATTTAAAAGGGGGTTTGGGATATTAGCAGTTTGGAGGGATATGCTGTGTATCTTTATTACATGCTTCTAAACTGTTGTGTTCGGGCTCTTGAAAAAAACGTATTATGTATGGTGGGTAAATTTTTGAATGTGATGAAAGTATTTTCTTTTTGGGGTTTTTCCCTTCTTTTTTGGGTCCCCCTGCCTTGGGGGAGAGGGCCCCCCCCTCTTTTTAAAATTTGTGGGGGTGTGTGTGTGTGTTGGTGTGTTTTTTTTTTTATTTATTTTTTTATT